CCACTATCCCACCCCCTCACTCTCTACCACAAGGTGTTACAAACAGTGTTTCTGCATCCACTGCCTCTTATTGGCTGCCCCCCCCCCCCCCCCCCCCCCCCCCACCCCCCACCACTCTAGCTGTCTCTCTCTCTCGACTGTCAGCCTTAAAGAGAAAATGCATCACAGCCGTCGTCGCACAACTCGCAGCAGTTCCACACTGGAAGAATAATGTAGGTAAACCAAACGTCAACCGGTTGTTTTTTGTTTTAGTGAGTCATCTTTAAACTAAAAGTGAAACAGGAAGTTCTGTAGAATTATAACAATCACAATACAACTGCTTAATTCTTGTTTAGGACTTAAGTTGATATAATGTTATGCCTCATTGTAAGATCCGAGTTTTATGTTAGTTTTATTTCCTCTTTGGTCATTCCATTCATTTTCTCTACTTTGTGATTAGTCCTGTTTTTCTCTGCACCAGTTACTTCTCCCTCAGACCATATTTTTCCAGTCAGCTTGCCACGCCCATCCATCTTCACATCTCGCACATCACGGCTGCAGCCACTTCTCTCATCAGCCCTTTTAGCTCCTCAGCTTCGCTTCACTCACCAGTTGTGCGTTGTGTTCTCTTTGTGCCTTATTCTCTGTTGACTGAGCTTTTTGTTCCCTTGCTGGGTTTTGTTTTGTTCAAAACAAAGTTATTTTATTTGAGCGTCTGCGTTCTTAGGTCAAACCTACCTGAAACCGTGACAATACTCATTGCGATGTCATACACATGGTGCATAGATAAATAAAAAAGATGAATAAATAAATACATAAGTTTTTTCAAACAATTGTTCAATTTACTCAAACTTACTAATCAACTTTTCTCATGCGATATTTCAAAATGTGCCTAAAAAAGGTTGATGGAAACATAGGTGATAAAAGCATGTAAGAAGGGGACAAATGGACACGGGACCCCCCACCCCTTTTTCTCTTAACAAAATGTCTTCCTTTACTCCTCTCTTAAACCAACATTCCTCTCTATTAATAATGAGAACATGTTCATGAGGCAACACCTCACACTGAGGACATTATGGTCTCAGATTGGGAAGCGCAGCTCCAAACTCAGCTCTGAAGAACTACACTGAAACCTAGAGATGACGCCAACAGGACATCATCCAGAGCCTTAAAGGAACTCAGGATGAATCTTAATTAAAACAAGTTATTGAAAGGGCAGCATTTCTCTGTTGTCAAGATGAAAAAAGATGAGGAGACGTCGCTTTTTTGGCCAGCCGAAGAGGGAGTCCATTGAGTTCAGCAGTTCGTTACATCCGACAGAAAAGACATCCAAAACTGAACTGACGTATTTAGAAACCAGACCCTTTTATACCCAAACTGTTTTCATAACACAAATTCTACGTATCCAGGAAGGGTGGTCTCTTCCAAGGATTGGGCTGGAAATTTAAGACCACCCAATACACACTTTTTAAATCTATTTGTGGACTGTTTGATGATGTCAACTTTTCCAGAATGTTCTTACCAGATGTTTATGCGACCCTTGTTCTAACCTTTTGTCCCAGCTTATAACAAACACTGCTAGTCCTCAACATTATCAACCATGTTTAAGTTCGTGGCACATCAAAAAGTTAGTCCATCCTCAACCCAGACAGGTGTAATAAATTGATTGATTATTTAAAAAAAAAAAACTAAATAAAATTACATTAAATCAGCTTTGAAAGGGTTCTGAAATTTATTACAACAGCTTGACTGTAACAAAAGGTCAAATTATGGCTTTTTAAATTAAATATTTATTGATTTAGTATAACTCAAACATGTGAACCTATTTGTGTAAGAAATCAAGCTAATGCAGAATATTATTTTAAATGTGCTTTAGTTTTTTCACAGCCTTTTTTCATTATTAAACAGCACACAGGGAATGTTACTGTGGACTGAGATGTTTTTGGACATTATCTCATACCTACAGGTTTTATATCTAATTACAAAAAAAAAAAAACATGAGAATTTTTTTGCTGAAGGATTCTTAAACCTTGCTTTATGTCAAAATACAGATTATTTAAACTTTAAAGAAAACAACACAGAGACACTATAAGTTTTTTGGTCTAATCTGTGATGACCTGTGCTGTCATCTTTTCTATGACAACTACATTGTAATAAATCTTTATTTACTGTAATATTTAGAAGGATATATACTTGAGTGTCTTTATTTTAAAGCGCTTCTGAACAGGTAAAACAGAGCTGCATGTAATGTCATTTTAAACAGATTCAGGGTTGTGTAATTTAGTTGGACGCAGCCATTTGTGATCAGTTCAACCTGAATCTGCTCTGAAAAACACCAGGAGTCAAGTTACTGATTTACAAATGTTGCCTCTCAGACATGAATTCTGCCGCAGCGGCCTGTGCACGCTGTGTCATGTGCAATATTTCCTCCAGCACACCATGAAAAACACAAACATGGCAGAATCCGAAATGTGTTGTTGTGTCTGCAGCTGTGTTTAACGCACAAACGTACCAAATCATTCCGATTACACTATGCAGCACGACAAATCAGCGCCGTGTCAGCTCTCCTGAAGGCATCTGCCTCAAAGTGTGGTGAAGCAGATGTGAAAGGAGAAATATTTGTCCTGCTTTTACTGGAAAACTGCTGAAATCTGAACTCATTTTATTGTGCCTGCTGCTGTTTTTTTTAAAACATATTGTGATTTATTAATCTGTTTAATTGAAACAAGAAAGAAGGGGGTCACGTTTCCTGTGATGAGATCTGGATAGATTTCGGCTTGGCTCTATCACAACTCATCTTTCATTTGTTTTGCATTCTGAGATTTATCTATGCTGTCATGGTTGCTGGTTAGTTTGAAACCCAAGGGTGCAGACAAAGCGCAGGGAACTCCTAAGTCATGAGCAAAAATGCTTTATTCAGAATAAATAGCTGTCGTAGCAGCTCTGTTTACAAAACTTTCACCCAAGAAACAATAGGAGGACAAAACTACAACTAGCACATGAGAAGCAGTTGATAAGTCTGAGTGGTCTGTTGACTGACCTTTGTATTTGTTCAAATAATTGTTATGGGCAGGTTACAATATAAAAATGTTTGTCATGATCATGTCTTGTGATCATTTGACAGGAGTTTTACTTTTGAAATGTAAGTATACTTAATTTAGTTATAGTGTAAATAAAATAAAAATTAAACCAAGATTTAGAATAATTACCATTTCAATCCATACATTGGTAATGTCTGATTGGGCCTTGTGTCACTTTATGTTCAATAAATTGGGCCCCGAGGTCAAAAAGGTTAAGAACCCCTGCTCTAAAACACCCTGTGTATCAAACAATACATATTTTTCAAATTGATTTTATCAACTTGTCTTCTGAAGATGTGTTGAAGGTTCAGTGGATCTTGTGTTCTTCTGTTTTGGTTTCGGTGTCATTTCTCATCTCACTCAGTCAGTTTTCAGCCTCTCACACCTGTTGTCCTCTCTAAACACGTCTCATCAGTCTGCTTCATATGATCCAGCCTCCTGCCATCTTTACATCAGTGGATCATTGCAATGCATTTCTTTGTGTCATCCTCCCTGATGTAACCAGCTTAAGTGTTCCCTAGCTGCAAGTTTTGCCGCTCAGCTTTTTATTGTGTTGTTATATTTTGTTTACCATCAGTGCCCTTGAGAAGTGTGCACCCTGGTTTCAACACACCACCAAACCTCACACTGAAGACAACACGACTTTCTAGCAAGGATCAAAATCAGGTCCTCTATGAAAGTGGATTGTATATTTTACTGCAACAATCACTGGTTTGCCTCCATTTTCAGTTGTCCCCCTCCTACAGCGCTGCCATTGGCAGTATCACTCCACCCCCTGTTAACAATAGGTATTAATTAGGTGTGAACAATAGCCATGTGATGTGAGTATCAGTCACCTGTGARCGATRGCCATGTGATGTGAGTATCAGTCACCTGTGAACGATGGCCATGTGATGTGAGTATCAGTCACCTGTGAGCGATAGCCATGTGATGTGAGTATCAGTCACATGGAGGCAGGACTCAAAAGCCTGAATTTTGCCTGAAACTCTCAGACTGAAGAAGTCTCTTGGAAGAGAGACGAAACGTTTCATTAAAGAAGAACCCGTCCAGAAGACCTACAATTTTTTTCCTTTTGATCATCTGCATTGCTGCATGCCCATGGTATGTCATGTAAACGTAACCCAAGATTTTAACACTTTTTTTTATTTTTATAGATTAATTTTCTGTTAGAAAACATGTTCAGTATTTGTGACCCGAGGCACAAACTGGAGACAAAGATTTAGACTTGAACATTTCATTGCAGGATATAAAGCCTAACACAACCTTCATCTGGACCAAAAACAGACCTGAACAATCCAGAAATAACATGTTTTTATTCACACCTGTCTGACTGAACCACTTCCTTTGGGGCAAAAGACGTCCCGCTGATATGGAAGACCCTCCCTGCTGAGCAGCTCGGTCTTAAACAAGTTCTGCAATCTGCTAAAGAAAAAGTGTTTGTTGTTTAGTGTGAGTCTGTTTGAGATGACCCACAAGTCACACTACTGTTTAATTACAGCTTAATCACAGTACATAAAAAATTATAATTATGTATTTAATTATCAAAAATCATCTAAACATCTCAATAAAACCAAGAATGTAGTGCATTTAAAAATCATGCAATTCAATGAGAACTTTTCTAGAATGACTTTTTTATTGTTCTGCTTTCATTTTTATTTAAAAACCTGGTGAGCAGCTTCATTAGGGCTAAAATCACACCGATAGATTTTCTGATCCGCAAACAACCTGGAACCATTTAGCAGAGAAGATGCAGAGTGACAGCTGACTAATGGCTCAACAGGGGAAGGTAATTATTCGTCGAGGGCCAGTGTGTACTTTAGATATTCCTGTGTGCTTTGAAG